CTAAACGCCCATTTAATTTCAAATCGGAATATGGTGTGCTTCAAAAATTATGACATAATTAATTGTGCCCCTCTTAAAAATTAAATAAAAAATTCACTTGTTTACATTATTTTTCTTAATTTAAACACATATAATTCAAAAGTTATGTAGCAAATTGATCAAATTCTACGTCAATGAATTACTATATCCAAAAGCAACCAGTTTGATTTAGTTTACAACAGTGAAAATAAAGCTAAATAACACAAAGGTTACCTGTTTTTTAGATTTGCCCATATATGTATTTGTCATATAGTCTGTAAGCATCTCGTTTGTTGATTAAATTAAATAAATAAATTAGATGTGTTATCAGCATGCATATAATAAAAAGTATAGATAATTTGTTGAATTTTCAATAAAATAACATAAAATTTAGATAAGATTTCCAGGCTTCCTCTATTGGACTTTAAACCTCTCAACACAAAAACATGTAAATACTAACGCGATAAATATTGAACATGTAGCATTCCCGCGCGATCCATCAATATTTTGAAATCCAGCAATATAGATCACGATCCAAATATCACAATAAATATTGAACGTGTGACAGCCGCTCTACAAATTTACGAGTAGACTGCCCATGAACCAAAAATACAAGATCACGTAAGAACGCGACGTTGTATTTGTAATTGGTTTTGAGAAAAAAGTTTGCGAAAGCGGGTTTATTTACATCACAAGCACAAGTGTAATATACTTTTATTTAACTAAAGAAGAGATATACAAGTTACCTATTTTGGTCACAAGTGACCAAATGTGGCAACCGTGAACGTAAAGTCTGTAATTAGGAGATCGAAACTAGGCTAGTAAATGAATTGGAGGTATTGCAGCTGAAGCGGCAAAAGACATGGTCGAGGTACCAGAGATACTACTAGTTGGCTCATTTAAGGAGGATGCAAATATTTGATAACTATTCGCTGCAGCAGCCATGTAGATAGGGTGACCAGACGTCCTGATTTTTCAGGACATTTCCTGATTTCAGGGTCGAATTAAAGTGTCCTGACTGATTTTTCCTTTCCCGCCTAATGTCCTGATTTTTACAAAGCTGTCCTTTTATAAACTTTTTACTGTGTTAACTTATCGTTAGGCGCTGGTTGTATATCGTTCTTGTAATAACATAGTGACCCACAGATGTTAAAGCTGAAGCTTCATGGCAGGTTTTTCATGCGTTGCGGCTTGAGGCACTTAGGCTCTAATATTAAACGCATAGCTGAATAGAGCGCTGAACGCCTGAAAAGCTTGTTGTGGAGTTGTACTCTAGAGGCCATCATGCAGTTCTCAAGAAAAGCAAAAAGTCCATATAAAATGACGTACAAGAAATTGAGAAGATAAGCATTTCCTTAAGGTAGTACGCAGTTCTTAAGAAATTTGCTTTGCTTCCTACTACGGTTTTATGAAGTTTTTGTTAAAAAAGAGCGCAAGGCAACCCATGTTTGCAACATAAATATATGCCCGTTCCATTATTTCCTGAAGAATGAGTGAGGCAACAGGCTGTGAAGTATCAGATGTTAAAATTCCTTGGAAACACACACGAAATAAGCTTAGTATCCACCTCTTGAGAAAAAGTAAAGCGAGGGTACTTATTGAATGAATTTTTTATGTTATGCTCCTTATTTTCTATCTATCTTCTATATAAATATTACTAACTATAATAAAACTGTAGATTGTTTGTCTGTTTGTCTGTTTGAACTCACCAATCTCCGGAACTACTGAATGGATTTTCATAAGGCTTTAACTGGTATATAGAGTGTGACGTAACCTAGGGTATAAAAAATGAGATCTGATATAGGGGCGTGGCACCCCCCATAGGCGTGACATTTTTAACCAGCTATAACTTCGAAACCGTAAGTCACATGACTTTGAAATTTGGTGACTAACATATCTATGGTAGATGCTTATTGTAAAGTAGATATATGTACTTTTTAAAAAGGGGCGTGGCTCATCCTATAGGTGTGCAATCTTTAATAAGCCATAACTTCGGTCACACGTCACATGAATTTGAAATTTGGTATGAAGACATATCCATGGTAAGCGCTTATAGTACGGCACATATGAATGACAAGAATCTCATAGGCGTGAAACTTTTAATCAGAAATAACTTCGGAACCGTAAGTCTCATGACTTTGAAATTTGGAAATTTAGGGCCTTAATATTGAAACAAGATTTTTAGTAAAGATAATTATGGCCAATATAATTGCAGCAAGAATTTTTACTGGATGCAGCAAAGGAGAAGATGTGTTTCTGTAAGGTGTCCTTTTTATTCCCACAGACCTTCCATTTTAACTTAAGAGTATTCAGTTTCTCTAAGACTTTGCTCTGACAGGTGATTATATGTCAAATGCTTACGAGTGGGATGTCCGAATAAATAGTATTTATGCTTCTACACTGCAACAAAAAATTAAAGAATTGTTCATAAGGAGGCCTTAAATAAAACTAAAAATTCTAAGTTCGGGCAGTGCCGAACAATAATACCCTTCGCAAGTATTCAATATTGTTTCTTCACCTTTCCGAAAACTTCCGCTACGTGGTAAGAAGGGGTGGTGTTACGCCTATCACAAACAGCTTCGATAGCGGTGCCACGCCCATTTTTCAAAATTTTATCATAAACATAATTTGTGATAAAGAGTTATTTCAAGCATCAATTTTGAATAAGTTAGCTGATTTAACGAAGCTTTCGTATTTCTCTAAATTATGTCCGATTTAAAAAATTTCCAGCCGTTTGGTATGTTTTGTCAAGACCAACGACTGTGCCAAGTTTGGCAGAAATTAGTGGAACGGTTCCCACATGTAATCATGTGGCTACGCCCATTTTCCAAAAATTATTAATATTTTAATTTTTGCCTAAAATTTACTGTAAATATAAATTTTGAGTGAATAAGCTTCAGTAGTTACTAAAATATCGCAGGTTTCGTATTTCTGAAAACTACCGTTATATGGGAGGTAGACGTGGTTATTGTCCGATTATCCCCATTTTCAAAACATCCGTCCTACGCAGAAAAGAAGTACACATACCAAGTTTCGTTAAGATATTGTAGCCTTGTATTTTAAAATCTTGCATTTATTTATTTATATATGAGTAGTCCACTTGCAAACAGCGTTATGTGATTTTATAATAGAAAGCCATAAATTTGAAAAAAACGACTACGGCAACAAGTAACATTTAAATTGAATCTTTTTTATTATTACCTGAAAATTTGGATAAATAAGAGCCTTATAAAATTATAACATAACATACCATGGCATAAGATAACAATAACAGTCTACACGACCTAAAGCAGTTTTCTAGGTTCATCAGAAGATGGATACTTTTGAAAATTTATAAATAAGTATGATAGCGACTTTTGAAAGAAGAGTTAACATTTTATGCTATTTTTTTCAGAATATAAGAAGATTTTGCACTGTGTTGTTAGTGGGCATGAAACTATGTACTTTAAATACTGGTACGTAATCCACCAAAAACTAAAAATCGAAAAAATTTTACATAGCGCACTTTGCAAGTGGACTACTCATATTTACTTATTCTTCGAATAAATATATCTAGATTTCACATACAAATAGAATATACGAAGGAGTTTTAATTAGCTCAAGATAGCAAAGCAGTAAATCAAAGTTTTGCCGGAGACTTCGAATATTTTCGTGAATAATAACAAAAGAGTTTGTACACGACTGTTAGTGGAGTGGTTGTTCTTGTTGAGAAAATGTGTGGTAATCTTCAATAAAGAACAGCCCTGGTAGGAAATCCTATCTAAAGAACTGAAATTTTTATTAAGTTCTTTAATCACCTCGCAGAGAACTAAAAATGTTAGATAAGGTCTTTATATATTAAGGTAACATAGTAAATTTCGCTTACCAGTTTTCTACTCAACAAATGTTCACTTGCCATGGGGCTAGGTGTAGTCGTGTTAACAATATTATTATTGGCTGGCATGCTTGTGTTGCTACCAGTGGCTGGTATTCCTGTAGTGTTGCTCGTACTACCCACTGAACCACTGTTGACCACCGTTGCTGCTACAGCGGCTGCTGCAGCCGCGGCCGATTGTAATGGATGCATGTGGCCCATGGCGAACATGCTGGCGGCCGCAGCTTGATGGGAAGGCAGCGGATGCAGTAGACCGGCACTCGCTCTTAGTAAATGCGCTTGAAGCTGCTGCAAATGTGGCACGGGGCTGATGGTGCCCGCCGACAAATGCCCATACGAACCGCTAGCAGTGCTGCTGGACCGCGAACCGTTCATAATGGTAGCTAGAGAGTTGGGCGAGAATCTTATCATTGAATTGATATCGAAGGAGTCCGAGTATGGTGAAGAGGATAGAGCACGTTTCCGGCTAATACTAGCGCGTAGGCTTCCTGGTCGCGGGCTGTTCAATCGCGATCCGTCGACGCTGAAATGAAAGTCTGTACTTGTTAATGAATTGGCGGCAACTGCCGCTGCTGCCGCAGTTGCTGGATGTAGATCGCCAAGTGAGCGCGCTCCTAAATAATCGGCAGAGTTAAGACTTAGCCCTGTCAAATGAAATGACGAAGCGCAGCCGGTGTATGGATCTAAAAGACATTGATAAAAAATGGTAACGCATAGCATTAGTTAGATATAATCTTAGTTTAATAATAAAATGTTAGATAAACAATGACAGACGTGTTTGACACTCCTATTCTAAAAGTTTTATTAACGAAGGATGGAGAAAGGAGAAAGAATGAACTTCCCTGCGTGAAAATGGTAGTAGAAAAGTGCTTAATGTAGGCAATGAGTAGTGAATTTTTTTTATTTTAATAGAAGTGTTGAATGAAATATTAATTAATTAATTCATTTAGGTTCCTAATGAATTTTTGATGTGTATACATATTTGGTTTGCGAAGCTGTAACGCATAGCCTAGCAGAAAATTTCGAAGGGCTGATTTGCCGCTATTTAAACTTGACGGCGGGATTGTTATTGTTAAATCTATACATTAATTTGTTTAATACCTTATTAAAAGCAATGCATAAATGCATAAAAATATTTGCGAACTGCAAAAAAAAACGTTCGGAAATGCATTACCAAAAAAATTTGTTTGAATAACGGAATGACAAAAAAAATCATCAGGTGCACCCTGCGAGTTTGCAACCTTGTGCATGCGTTTCATGGTAGTAGAAAAGTGCGCAATGTAGGCAATGAGTAGTGAATTTTTTTATTTTAATAGAAATGTTGAATGAAATATTAATTAATTAATTCATTTAGGTTCCTAATGAATTTTTGATGTGTATACATATTTGGTTTCGGTAGGGGTAAAATTTGCGAAGCTGTAACGCATAGCCTAGCAGAAAATTTCGAAGGGCTGATTTGCCGCTATTTAAACTTGACGGCGCGATTGTTATTGTTAAATCTATACATTATTTTGTTTAAAACCTTATTAAAAGCAATGCATAAATGCATAAAAAATATTTGCGAACTGCAAAAAAGAACGTTCGGAAATGCATCACCAAAAAATTTGTTTGAATAACGGAATGACAAAAAAAATCATCAGGTGCACCCTGCGAGTTTGCAACCTTGTGCATGCGTTTCCTTTTTGTAGCACTGCGCCTAAAAATGCACAAAAGCTACAGTAGAAAAGGAAGGAGCTACACGATGCGCCATTGCACAGCATGGTACGGTTGTTTTTATGATTTCAAAAATTGTGTATTGCAGAAGCAAATTTGTAATTTCATTAGAAGCGCCCTGTGCTATTGCAAATGGTTGCATACATTTAGGCATATGCAGAGTAAGACGAAATACGGTGCAATTGATTATTACTTCCGATTATGCAAACTCCGGCCTTGCATACGGCTTTGTGCCTATATGTACGGTGACCATCCGTCCTGTATAATACGGGACAGTCCTCTTTTTTTGACGCAATGTCCTGGTAATTTATTTATTTAAAACGGGACGCCAAATGTTCTGTATTTCTTTTAATGTCCTGTATTTGTCCCGTATTCGATGTTGTTTCGACGGCTTAACAACTCACTGAAATGGCATCCCTATGAACTAGTTTTAAGTGATGTTGGTATATGACCGTAATTTTCTCCATAAACAGATATTATTTTCTAGTCTGAATGTTTGTGATTCGAATCGAGGATTACATACAGTGACCTAAATAGAAATTAGGGCTCGACATTTAGTAAGTTTTGGCTATTTTTTCCTTAGTTTGTTTAATGTTTATTATTTATTTTATGAGAGTAAAGCTCATATAACAACAAATTTCCAACTTTATGCAAAAAACTATAAAAATTAATTCTGCAATGTTTCACCAAAATTTCAAACATTTTAATTAGAATCTTTAGAAAAAATTTGGTTTGCAGTTTTGAAACTCACTAAAATTGAGTATAATAAAGTGCGATTGAAATGTTTTGCTTCTCTTTCAAAAAAATGGTCGAACATACTTACTTTGTATGACAAAAATACGTAATACCGCCAATAAAAAAAAATTGCCAAAAATTAATGGTAAGCCTTAGCGACTTAAAATTGCACTTTATGTATATATGTACTCATATAACGAATTTTTTACCAAATGTATATGGGTAAAAGGATACTGTTGCAGGGATAATACATCTATGATCATTGAAGAAACTTTTAAAATCTGTAAGCTGTTGAGGTTTAATAGTCTATTGATAAAAAACAGGACGAAAAAAAATACTGAAATCATTTTAACTGGGACCGTTGATAACTGATGAACGTACATGAATATATGTATGATAACATATGTATGGATGATATAATAGCCCTGATCCAATAGATACTGCGAGTAAAAAGTGAGTAACAGCAAAATGTACGGGAACAAAAAAGCATCGGGTAAAATCTTGCAACTTCATTCTCTACACAACTCTCCAAAAATCGCTCTCATTTACATGATTTAGGAATACGGGATCCTTCCGGCAAGTTAGTGTAAAAACCTGTAAGTTCATTGTGTACTGGATCAGAGCTAATACAAGATTGCACAAAGAGAAGACGAGAGTATTCAATTCAAAAACAATTCCTACTTTTTGCTTTAAGATATTTCCGTCCGGATTCTCAGTATAACCTTCCACCTTATACGAGCCGATTAAAACTTATTAATCTTCCTACACTTTCCAGCCGCCGCACAGTGCGTAATTTGGGTGATTTAGGGGAAGGAAGATCGAAAATCGAAGTTGGTAAAAAAAGTTCAGATACGATATGTGTGCGTATGGATGTCTGATATAACAGAAAATCGGTCCCCAATCGTTAGAAGATTACCTGGAAGAATTTTGAGCTTGTGCAAACATGCCTGTTTTGACGAACGAAAATCGCCAGTTTTCCGGTCTTTATCAATCAGTGGTCGTATCCGTCTCATTTCATAACGAGACTGCGGTCGTGGGTATACTTTGCATTTTACACATTGTAAACTTAATTAAAAACATTATTTTGAAATTTTAGACGTCAACCTTACATATCACTTACGCTCCTTTAGATTAAAAAAAAATGGGATTTCGCTTTATTCATATAAGCATATAAATTGTTTGACAGCGTGTGACATTTGGATCTCTTCAGGAACTTTTAACTGGGCATCTGTATATCAAGGGCCAATAGTAAGAATTTGCACAAAATTGCACAATTAAAAAAAAAATCGATTTAAAGTCAACCTTTGGTTAAAAAAATCGGGTTTTTGTGTATTTTTGGTGACAAAAAATTGGTCGTAGGGGATTTTTCTTATTTTGAGGCATGGCAGCTACAAATCTCAAATCAAATCAAATCGACCTTAAGGTGAAGAAACACAAATAATAATTTAAGTTTCCTTTTTTTTGTTTTGATTTGTGTATACTTAGTGCTTGTAAAACACTATAGTTAATGCAAAAGGTGAAAACTGTCAGCCAAACTGGTGCGAAGATATTAGAAATCAAATTATATAATTATATTTATATTTTTTGTGAATACATGGCTTACTATGTATCAAATATTAACAAAATCAGTCTATAAATACGGGCTTTCAAAATATTTCGACCCCGGCGCCACCTAACGGGTAAATTTTTTGCAAAAATATTCCTGCATATGCAACCAATATACGTGGAAAAAATAACCCAGATTCGACCATACCTAACGGAGATATATCACTTTTAATTTTTGACTATAAAGACCCTCCCCTGGAAATGCCCATATAAAATATTAGACTTATGGAATCACCCACATCCTTTGAAAGCGTAATTATACAGTCTATTAGAAGTACATAACTAAAAAAAAAATATATTCTAGAGTCAAAATTGTGGGAGCTATGAGTTTCCTTCCCCTAAATCGCCGAAATTACGCACTGTGCGCCGGCAAATGCTTGGTAAAATGTGTATAGTTAAATTACTAACATGCTCAATTTCAAGTCCGCTTCTTCTTGGCGAAGTTAGCCTTAATGTTCCCTCCCGGGTATCAAGACACTTTTGTCCCCTATTTCTGAAAGCTTGTAAAACTAATTTTGAATTGCACGACCCACTCCGGTGCTTATGCCAGGATTCTAACTCTCATTCCAGCACGTTTGATATATCAGATCCGCTTTTCAGCATTAAGAAATCGATACCGTCCTCTCTCAATAAATGAATCATTAAAATAAAGACATAAAATCGGCTGATGAATTTAGTTCTGTAGCTGAACAGTTTTAGATCTCGACACTTAACAAACTCCTGCCTATCGTGACTCGGCGCAAAAATTGAATACTGGTTCCGTACGTCATGCGGACTGCGCCCCACTTGCGGATGGGCGGGAATGGAGGGTAAAAACCGTTGGGATTATTATTATTATTAAGAGGAAATGCCAAACAAATGAATTTAGCTCCCCATTGTGCAAACAAAAGATGGTCTGTTATATCTATTCATGACTTTAACGTAAACCCAGTGACAAATGAAGCAGAACCACAGATTATATTCCGAAAAGAAAAACTAAATTTAGGAATATATAAAAATAGAAACGCTAAAACTACAAGCTCAAAAACAGTAATTGATGCGATGTTTTCAAGATACTTTAACGCCCTTGAGTCACGAGTGTCATACCGATAATTTCATGTATTAAGAGAATTAAAAATGAAAATGAATAAAAAAAGTTAAATCAGCAAAATGAATAAAATTAAGTGAAATTAGTGTTTAATTTCTAACCTAACCTACATGTCTCTGCATGTAACTGAATCGCCTAATAATAGGTTTACATATAAAAAGATTATCCTCGTTTTCGAGCTCAACTTCTTAGTCTGTAATTAGAAAAAGAGATAACCATACAAAATTTAGATAATTATAAAATTATCTCAGATTAAACCGATAACTTTTTGGTGTCCAACCTAGTTTTATCATTATACTTGCGAAGAGGAGGAATGTCAAATGTAAAAGTAAACAAAAATTGACGCTAGCAAGGAATAGAGGTTTGTAAAGGTATTTTTAATAAAATATTAAGTTAAAATATATTTAAATTAATATGTGTAGCTGAGCACATTTGTCGCCCCGTCCTCGTCATGTACTCGTCTCGTCATGACAACAAGACTTCTGCACACTTGTCGTCACGATCGCTCAACACATTGAGTTTTCTGTTAAGTTGTCATACAGA